TATTACAAGAATAAAATCATAATTTTACAACAATAAAATCGTAATATTACGAGAATAAAGTTATAATATTACAAGAATAAAATCATAATTTTACAACAATAAAATCGTAATATTACGAGAATAAAGTTGCATTATTAGGAGAATTAAGTCGTAATATTAGGAGAATAAAGTCATGAAATCATGAAAATAAAGTTGTATTTTATTTTAACTCTTCCAAGCAGCACTGCCTTCCCTAAAATGAGGAATGTGGAGCATTTTTTAAAGTTATATTTCCGTTTGACTAAAAAGGAAATATTACGTCTTTTAGCGTCAAATTATTATCAGTATCAGAACTTTGAAACAATTTTTCAAACGACTTTATCTGAATGGAAGAAATGATGCTGGGAAATTTCTTTCTGAAACGAGTCGCGATATGATGACTTCATTCTCCTGATTTTATGACTTTATTTTTGTAATTTTACAACTTTATTGTGATAATGTTACGATTTTATTCTCATAATATTACAACTTTATAATGTTTCATTATTCCCTTAACGTTACGACTTTATTTTCTGTTCTTAAAAAAATAAAATCTAATCTAATTCTCCGTTTTTGATAGCAAAAAGATATTTTACAGAATTAAACCACCTGAAACTGAAACTTTTCCACTTGAGGAGTTCTAGGTAGAGATTATTGACAGACGGAAACATTTTTTTAGATTTGAAATAAAAAATGTTTATATATAAATATTTTTGTACACTTTGTCAGTTAAAGACATGTTAACAATTAATCGATTACTTAATTACTTGACAATTATTTCAATAATCGATTAATCAAGATTAATCAGATTGTTTCAGCCTAATGATATACAGTCTATTTGAAAGGCTCCATATCTATTTTATTTTCAGAAAACTCGCATCTTTAATCCCCACCAAATGAATAATCTTATGTTCTGTCCAGGCAGGCGTTCAGGCTGTGGTCGGGAAGCAGGCTCTAAAGGCCCACGGCTCCCTGGCTTCTCTGTGGACTCCTCCTCTGAAAGCAAACGTCTCTCTGGAGACGTCTAAAGCCAGCCTCTCCCTGCTGATGAGCGCCACATACGGAAAGCAAAATGTCAGCTTTGCTGCTGCAGTGAGCGCCACGGATAAGGTGGGTGGGGGCCGCCGGGCTGGGAGTGTTGGAGGCGCATCTGTCCATCGAACCAAGGTGTAAATCTGATGCTGCTTCTATGTTTACGATCACCATGAAGAATCTGAAGAAGAAGCAGGCGGTTGTGAAGATCAGCTTCTCCCAGCCGAAGAGTCGAAGCATGGAGGTGGAGCTGGAGGGGGGGGTGGAGGAGCTGAGGAGGGACAGCAGGATGTATCAGAAAGCAGCTCTGCTCCACCTCAGGTCTGTGATTCAGACACGGAACCACCATCAGATGAAGCCTCAGAGCTGCCATTTCTCTAAAGAGCAATTCCTCTGTTTTTAAAGACTTTATTCACATTTT